ACGACAAATCAACTATACACATATTCAGTATTCACCGTAATGTTTGTTTTTAAAACGTACAGTATGGTTAGCGTACTCATTTTTTATTTATTCGCTTCATTATTTTCCTTTGAAAGAACAATAGCCATGTTTATTTATAGAATAATTTTGGACATCAGCGCGAGACGAAAAACTGACGGTCAAAATATTGTCCGCCGACCGTCTGTTATGAAAAACAATGGAAATAAATTTACACGTCTTTGCCGCGCTGGTTGCTTACGTCCGCTACAATACTGAGCTGCGTAAATTCAATAGCTCTCGTGGCCAGCAAGTTGAGAAACACGAATTATCATAAGACGTCTGTCAATTCATTTCTATTTAGACTTTTTTATTCTGTATCAGGGTCGTCTTTCGCAATAAAATAAAAAAATATTTAACGTTCGCTTTTCTTTCCGAAGTTAACAGACTCCGTTATGCAGATCTGCTTGTGACGATGGTTGATGTTATTTTATTAGCAATTCGTTTTATTCTATTACGTTTTGAAAAAACTTTTATCGAATATTTGGGCTTGTGTTGCATCACTATATACACAAAATTGATTCTAATTATATTTTTGCCGACGGAATTCGCGTATTAAATGTATCTCAACTCATCGCTCTTCTTCCCGCACTGGGAATATCGTAGTTTTCTTTAATGCGATTATTGGAAAATACTCTTCCGCTTTTCTATTATTGTGTTATGATTATGAACATCATAACTAAAAAACATGGCACGAATAATTTCGCCGACAATATACATTAATATATAGTGATGAGGGTTTGCATATTTTTTTCTTCTTAGCCGCGTAGACCACATTATAATGTATAGTAGCCGCGCTCGTAGTCGACTGAAAAAATGTTGAAATTTGAATATCGTGTCGTAACGATGGGATTTTCATAATGCGTTTTCCGAGCCCTACCGGTGGGGATTAATATTACAAATGATTTCGGTTCCGAGAGCTCGTTACACGGTTTATGCGTTTCGTATAAAATCGCCGCCGACGCCGACACCGAAAAGCGCGCCCGCGTAAAAAACGTATAAATTGGATTTCCATATTATACACGCAGGAGGTGGTTTATCGGGTGGCAAACGGCGGCTGATCGTGTATATTATATACGAACGCTGCAGGTGCCTCATCCTACTTCCAGACCGAAGTGAAAGGATACGGCGGCGGTAATTTAAGGAACGAAAATTGTATTCGAAAAACGGTTGCTATAATATAGTCATTTATACATATATATATATATATATGTCGTAAACCGGTTGACATTTTTTTATTTATATTTATTTTTTTATTCTAGTCGTCGAGTTTATTATTATTACTATATATTATTATATCTATATAATAAACAGTTATAATATACACTGAAAACTCGCAACCATTGTGAGTGTGTGTGTGTCTGTGTGTGTGTGTCTGTGTCTGTGAGTGTGCGAGTACTTATGTATTATTTCGTCGTTAAGTCTATTTAAAGTCGGTGGCGGTATCGGTGTACGCGGGACGACTGAGGGGGGAAGGGGAGACCGAATGTATATAGTAGCGGCGGCGAGAATAATATAAGACGTCTATACCGCCGTCGATAATGTCGAAAATATATTATACTGTGCTCTAATCACCGTCTATCGAACACCACACTCAGTATTATTATTATTATTACAGTCTGTATATTAAGTATAATATCGTGTACGATTTTTGAGATGTATACGACGACGACAAAATCGATGGACAGAGTACACTAAGTACGTCATGATAATAACATATCGAATCCGTATGGAGAGAACCCGAGTGGAACCGGTCACATTAAACTTTTTCAGTTTTTAAATATATTACGTAGGTAACCGAGAAGAGAAGAACGACATACTAACGGGAGATTATAAGAGTTAATCCCTTTAACCGTCTATATATATATATATTGTATGACGTAATAAACGCATTAAACACTGCAAGTGAACGTTGCAAGACCTCTATATAATAATATAACACATACACATATTATATATTATAACAATACAGTTGATGTTTTACATTGTAATGAAAATAATGTTGACGGCATGTTGTCCTCGAAAATCCCCTTTAGATATATGTATACATTTATATGCACATGTACAGCGGGTGTATTGTAATTGAAAAATATCGAAGTTAGACAACGGTATGAGTATATTATTGTGACACTCTACGGGACGCTGGTTACACGTTTGATGTTTCCTTAAGAACATTATTCGTTAGAGACTAGTGACAAGTTACAAGGTTCGGGATTATAATATGATTGGTGTTGGCACCGATATTATATTTGAGTAACACCCTTTGTGTCCGATCCCAATCGCCTCGCCCTGTCCACGTAATGATATAACACTCTCGTCGTTTCGTATTGGTGGTGGTGGAGCACAAGAATCGGAAGACCCCTTACGGCGGCGGCAACGATGGCGGTGGCGGACGCGCATTCTTGGGGTTTTAAAAATCGACCAGACGGCGACCGCCGATTGGACGTGCCTACTCCGCCGTCACGAGCGTTTTTCACTCGGCTAATATAATAATAGTATAATATACCTACACGATAACAATAACGTAAAAGACATTATTGTAGCGAAAAAAAAAAAACGAAAAAGATATCGGACGAAATCACGGACATTCATTGTGGAACGATCGGTCCGCCGCCGCCGTGTCGTAGTCGTCGCCGTTCGAAATGACCCAAACACGTACACACCCGCTGCGAATCGCTAGGCGGATGGACGGACGGGAAAAAAAATAATAACAACAATAATAATAATAATAATAATAAGAATAAGAATAGAAACTCGGTTCGTCCGTATATTATATATTATTTTTTTTTCCGTCGTCCTCCTCTATAATACGTCGACGTTCGCGACGGTCGCGGGGAACCCTCTCTACACTAGAACGGATGGTATTATGTACGCGTATCCCGTACATTTTCACGTCGCCGTCGTCGTGCGTTTCGTGTGTTATTATTATTATTATATTTTTTTTTTGCCACGACGACGACGACAACATAATATTGTTACAATACACACGACATGTTAACGTGTGCACTGCGCGCGGCGGTGCAACGGCGACGGCGACACAAAAGCGACGGCGGCACACACACACACACACACTCACATACACACTGGCGCGCGCGAACGGGCACAATGGTCTGTCCTGCGAGGCGGAGTGAAATCAGTTTTTCCGCCGCGCCCGTCCTGCGTGAGCGGCGACGGTGGCTGCGGCCTATGCGTCGTATTTATTACGAGCGGCGAAAAAAAATAAATAATAATAAAAATAATAATATATATATATGAAAAGAAAGAAATGTGTAAAAAAAATGCGACGCGTTCACAACGTATAAATAATAAATGTACACGCATGTGGCGTGCATGGTGCAGCGGCTGATGAGCACGCGGGGGGTGGTGCCGGTGTGGCGGTGACGAGGACGATATCATCGTCGGAAACTCCCGAAATCCTACGTCGCCGCGAACTGGTTTTCCTTTATATTTTCTATATTTTCTAGCTTACTCTCTCTCTCTCTCTCTCTCTCTCTCACGCTGCCGATCCGTCGATAATTGCAACCTGCTGCCGGTATACACGTTACACACAAACACACACGCAGAAGCACACATACCACAGTGATGGCGGTACGCACGACGGCCACCGCGTACACATCCACACACACACACACACACCCGCGCGGCCAGTATACTATTATGCACGTACATATATTATATTACTACGCATAATATATTATTATAATGTCCTTGTTTCCGCGAACCGCGCGCGCTAATGATTATGCTCGCCTCTACCCCCCGCCGACTATATACGTAGTATACGCACACACGTGCACTCGCCTCGTACATATATATTATATATTATAAAATATATATATACACATGCATATATAAATATATATATATATATACGTGTAAAACGATAGGCTGGCGGCGGGTGTTGTGAAACACGTCGCCATCACACGGTCGGCTGGGTCGATGTAGCCGCGCGCGGTGGCGGTGCGTATATAGTGTGTACGACGACGACGACGACGACGACGAAAACGACGACTACGTCGGCGGTGAAGGGTGCGGCGGTGTGGCGGCGGCAGCGATGCATATAGGCCGTCGGCGGCGGCAGCGGCGACGACCACGGCGCGCGGTGTGGACGGAGCGCGGTGGCGGCGGACGCGGCTTCGTCGGCGACGGTGACGGGGCGCGGCGGTGGCGGCGGCGGTACGAGAGAACCGTAGCATGCCGCGACTGTGGAAGCCGATAAGACCGCCGGGTGTGTCCGGGGCAACGATGCGTGTGCGGGTAAGTGGCAACGGCGGCGCGGCGTCGTCGACGGTGCAGTGCGGTGGGTGTGCGGGTGGGTGGGTAGCCACGCGGCGGCGGACGTATACGGGCCGGTCGGTGATGCGCGGCGGGGGGATAGGTCCCGCGGGCTTAACACGCGATCCGCGGGCCCGGAAGACGGACGACAGACAGACAACCGTCGCCGTCGGTCCAGCGGGCGGTGGCGGTGGCGGGGTGTGTGTGTTGTGCGTACGTATATATATATATACATATATATGCGATGCCCGTAGGCGTGTGGGAGAAGAGAGTATTATAATATATATATTATACGCGAGTGCGCTCGTACTGTGTACAGTGCGTCGCAGTGCGGTGTAGTAGAGCGGGTTGAGGGGTGAACGGTGGCTGTGAGTGGTTCGGTGTGTGTGTCGGCGGCGGCTGCGACCGCGGTGGTGGGGTGGTGGAGGGGAACTCGGAGCGGATATTAGAACGGCGCGCGCGAGCGAGTGAGAGAGAGTGTGTGTGTGAGAGTGTGAGAGAGCCACAGAGCGAGCGAGAGAGCCGGCGGCCGCCGCTGAGCTCGGGTCACAATCATAATGGGCATATGGGGGTGGACCGGGTGTGAGTGGTGGTGTCGGCGTCCGATGCGTCGGCGGGTGAGTAGGGTCCGCCGTCGCCGCCGCTGCCGTTGTGCTATCCGTGTCCGGCAGCTAGCCAGCCGCCGCCACCGCCGAACTCGCCTCCACCCTTTTATCTATATATTTCAAAAACCACCGGCCACCACTACCCCTCTCCATACCATACCGCACCCCGTCACTTTCCGGCGGCGGTGGCGGCGTCCCCTTTTTCCAATCTACCAGCGCGTATTTCCAACGCACGCACGCACGCACGCACGCACGCACGGACATTAAAGTGCGACGCCCGTGGCTCTTTTGCCCGCCGACGCCGTGGACAAAATCCACCCGCACCGCCGCCGGCTGTTCGCCGCACGTATAGACGGCGGTGGCAGCGACAGCGGCGACGGCGGCGGTATCGGCCGGCCACGTACGTGTGTGCGGTGAAAGCTGTCCGAAATTAAGGATACCGCGCGCGCCCCCGGGTCCCTCTCGGTTCTTTGTTCGCGCTCGGCCCGCTGTCCGGCACAATCGATTGCCGCCCGCGGTCACCGTGGTCATTTCGGTCTTCCGCCTCCTGCGCCCATCCGCGTGTCCTCGTCGACGGCAGTGCCTTCCACTCTGCAATTTTTTACTCGTCTTCTATTCTTTTTTTTCCTCCGTGTTTTCTCCTCTTATTCCCGACGGGGCACGTTTCCTGTCACTTATATATACGTCGTCGTCGTCTATATATATATATATAGATGGATAGATAGATAGATACGAATTCCGTCGATGACGACGCGGCCCACCGACCGGACGAATTCGATATACGAGCAAGAGAGATAGGACGAGAGTGAATGAGTGAGAGAGAGGAAAAAAGATACCCGCCGCGTGTGTTGGCGACGGTGGCGGTATGCGACTGTGGCGGCGGCGGCGGTGGCGGCGACGGTTTAATAAAACACACCATGGCCGATAGCCGATGGATCATCGTCGGAGAATGACGACGACGCATTCGCCATATCATTATACACCTACCATGTATAATCCCCATATTCGATACCCGGTACTATGCAGCTAACCGATTTTGGGCGATCAAAATTCGTGAAAGTTGGGCGAAAAATCAGTTTTAAAAAGTTAACATGCGGCGGTGGACAATAAATTATATTATTACAATTTTATGTATACCACGTGTTCGGGAGACGTTACTATAAAAACATTCCGCGGGCCGCCGGACCGTTACGCCGCGCGACACGACGACGAGGACGACATAGTCGATTTAACTCTTTAAACGCGAACGAGTTTTATCGAACGAATGAAAAATAAAAAAAAAAACAGACTCGTCAAACACACACACAACGCCGCCGCCGCCGCCACCGTGTGCCGCCGACACTTTTTATTTATTCGTTTTCATATTCCCGACCAAGTGCCTCCTATTGCGGCTACTGTGCAGTAGACGACGCGTAGCATACTACAATATGAAAACAGAATATTTTTATTTTTTAATACGCAGACGGCGAACAACGATCAGATTTCGACGCTCCGCCGTGGCCGACGCTGTGCACCGTTTCGAACGCGACGAACCGAGACGGATCACGGATCCGCGTTAGAAACGGGCGCGCGCGTTAAAAAGTAAAGATGAAGAAAATATTATTTATCGTGTATAATAATATTACAAATTATTATTATTTCAAAATATGCCACCGGGTAGGAGGATAGATAGGAGGTATATATTATAATGTATATTTTGCTCGATTTCGATGTCACTGCTAGCTCGTTTCTAACTCTCCGTCTCAGCTCCCGAGTACACGCATATTATTATTGTTTATTTTGTTTATTATAGACAGCTTCGCACTATCGACATATCACACTAAAACTTATAAGTTGTACCTATAAACACTTAAACTGAAAACACACACAAACCACAATCGTTTGCAGATTAATATGAATACAGATACATTATATGCACAACGCTAATAATCTAAACTATATAGTTTTTAAAAAAAAATTAACAGGTTTATTATAGGTGATTAAATTGCTGTCGTCGCAATGTCACATATATATTATAATTTACATTTTATAAATATTAGATTTTGAGATTTTCCCATTGTAACGGTATATAGATAATAATATAATAGGTAAGTATATACTCTTTTGGTTATGGTCTCGGAAAATTGTTTGCTTAATCAAAGTGGATAAATTTTTTTTAATTTCTTCGAGCTTAACATTATTAATCTTGTACCAGTAGACTTACCCGTGATGCCATTTAATTCTCCCTCGTAAGAATAAATTAGCAAGATTTCAGATTGCTGTTCAACTCAACAGGTTAAATATATTCTTCCACTCAGTAGTCTCGTTCATAAAATAACAAAAACAATTTGGTTTAATGATAATTATATCGTCTGTTGAATTATTTCTCTTTCTACATTATTACTATAGGTATACGCTGTGCATTGATAAAATTAATTTATTATAATTTTAAGCCGCTATTACACATTTATGCTTTGCATTTTTATATTTTTATATTTCTCATTTGTTCATTAAAAAACTATCATTGAAACAATTTTTTTTTTGTTTCTCGAAAACAAAATGTATTAAAACTTAATAAAACATATACACGCACACGCAATCGCGTAAAAATGTCCAACAAACTTTATTCTTTGAAAAAAAAAATAGTTCAAATAGTTCAGATTTGTATGCGTGTAAATATATTGAATTTTTAATAAAGTGTGTTTATTAATTATTTCATCATAATAAGTCGTGCTACATTTTCTATGTACAATGGATTTTAAATGACACGCGGAAAATGTATCATATTTTTATAAAAACTACACAATGTAGCATTACCACTAGGAAACGAGCATATTATTATATACAGCAGGGTGTTAATACATTCATTGCGATATTCATAAATAGGGGTGTTTTTTTTTCATCAAACGTTTTTAAACTAATGTTGTTTTTATTCGTTCGCACATTAATAATGATGATATAATAGTTAAACTATACTATTCAAACGTTTAAAATACATCGAAGTTATTTGCTCGATTTAATTGTCATGTCAATGATATCGTGATGTACTTATAAACAGCTATATATATATACAATAGGCGGCGGTAGTTAATTTTTAGATCGTTAATTTTAATTAGATTATTCAAAAGTTCGATTGACAGAATTAAAAGTTGTACAACAATGGGTTATTACATCGAACTATTAAATTCTTTAGACTTGATACAAAATAATGAGGGAAAAAAAGGTCGTAGGTACGACTTTTGTCGGACACCGTGTTATTTCATCATCATAATAATATGTAGGAAACATCATTGAATTATATTATAGTAGTCTGTATATGCGCCATACATTAATATTCGTCACCGTCATCAACATATTCATATACACGAATAAAATCCACTCATTAAATTTTATTACTTATGCAGCGTATAATAATATAACGTTTAAAAAAATAAAAATCATGGTAACAAAATTACTTACGTATCGTAAACCAAACAAATCGTTTTGATAAATATAATGGCACGTATAATTATTTCACACTGTATGTATAAATCATATAATATGAGATACGTATATTATTTATACTTTATAATATTTTACAGTGATATAAATATTGTTATATATATATGTGTTTGTGCCGCAGTGGAATAGAATATAACAGTTGGTACTTACTACTTGGCATATATAAATATAGAACGCATGTATATATTATAATTATTATGGTATAGTTTATTCTGTTGTGCTGATAAAAAGTTTAACTGACGGTTAAAGTCGACAGCGATAGAGTTTTTGATTTACCCATCTGCAATGGCTGTCAGTCAGTTTAATGCGAACGATATACTCATGTAAACCGGACCGAAGTTAAGTGTACGAACTTTGGTCAATATTGTTGTTCTTGAAACGCACCCAGACTCATCCACTTTTGATGTTTATTGTTTACGAAGATTTCTTTCAATAACACACAGTGCACACTTCCCATTTGCTGTGGAAGTATAACAATAACATTTTATTACATATATTGCGCTGACGTACATTATAGGCACAAGGCACCCAATGGCTAATACCTTATATACATAGCTATGTACTTTCGAATACACGGTGTATAATATAGTGTATGTTATGAAGTATCCGAAGACTTGCCTTGGTATGACATTTTTTACATGTCTATTATATTAGGTAGGGTAAATTTGTAAGATCGATAAAATCGAAAATCCATCAATATGAAGCCGTCGCCCAAAACTGAAAACAGTACTTACGAAAACATAAATAAAACAAACATTCGATTTCCATAATGTGTTTACTTCGCCACGAATAAACCTTACAAGCGATTGAAATTTTATTTGTATATATCCATGTATATTATTTTAATATATATACCGTTCCATTCAATTTCAGTCAGTGGAGTATTGAAATAGTTTTATTGACGAGGAGCAAATAGTATTAAATATTAATACGCATAGCCACTTAGGACAACCACGCTTTGTATAACCACTAACCAGTCTCGACATTGAAATTTTAAGGTTGCATGTTGGACAAAAGAGATAATTAAAATATTATCTTTGATATAATTATTACTATTTTATTGATTGTACCGACTCAGTTGTTTGCTATTATTTATTGTATTATCTAATTTTTTTGAATAACAATTAGGGTTTGGATTTTAAAACAAAAATACAGACTTTAGAAGCGCTTGCAACGTCAACAATAATCAAATCAAATAAAATATATTTTCGACACGATTTTAAACATGTGTGAAACATAATATCATAACATAATTAAATATGTCAAGTCCAGTCTGCACTCTGACGCCCATTTACATTAAAGGTCAATTGCTCCCAAAAAGTGCCTTCAACGTGTTCATTATACAAAAAAAATGCAGTATATAGTTCAAATGATTTGCTTGACATCGATGTATTATAATAAATGTATCGATTGACTAATAATCACTGACAATTAATGCATCTATTATTGGATATTGAAATAACAATTTAAAAATCTATATTGCACGCCCATCTTATAATATATGTGTATATAATATATATATATATATACTCAAGTGTTTTTTATGTGCGAGACTCTTTCGGGGTATATTAATAAAATGTACGAATAATAATTGACATCGCATATAGTGATGTGAACTCAAGTAGTTCATATATTATTGTATAACTCATGTATAATATGATATAAATTCAGTCAGGTATATTTACTGTACCTATATTATTATTGTGTTAATAATAATTGCCATATTGTTTTACTTTCAAGTTTCAACACGATGTAATTACACCGAAAACACAAGTATGCTATTAACTATTAAGTATTATTATCATGGTTTGAGAATATTTATTTTATGAATCGTGTATCTGTCATCTGTGTGTATATAATATATATATATAATATTTGTTGTACATGACGAGACGATTTCCCGATTTTCCCAAATCAAAACGGTTTGTTAAATACGATTAATTCCTATATAATGTTGCGTACAGCTGCTGTTGAATTCAACAGGTCAGATAATTTATTTCATCTGTCCCGTACTTTTAACTATTGTTTTGTTAGCACCATAACGAAATCGA